CCCCTCGCGGCCCGGCCCCCAGCCAGGAGGCAGAGGCGAGCGGGGACCCGCGGGCAGCCTGCGGGCGGCGCAGGCGGGATGGGGAACCGGGAGATGGAGGAGCTGATCCCGCTGGTGAACCGTCTGCAGGACGCCTTCTCGGCGCTGGGGCAGAGCTGCCTGCTGGAGCTGCCGCAGATCGCCGTGGTGGGCGGCCAGAGCGCCGGCAAGAGCTCGGTGCTCGAGAACTTCGTGGGCAGGTGAGCGCGGGGCGCAGGGGTGGCCATCCACTCCGGCCGTTGGAGCCCGAGGGGGTCCCGGGGGCTCCAGAGTGGTGGGCCAGGGTGCGGGCGGGGTCGTCGGGCCGCGGGCATCCTCCGTCCCCCCGCCCGGGGGCCCTCCTGTCTGCCTTTCATCCTGCGATACAAAGCCANGTCGTCGCCTGCCCCTGGCAGGGGAGGCGGGGTGCGAGGAGAAAGACCTCGTTTGTTGCGGTGCAGCTTTATCCAGCGACGCTTCCCCACCACCCTCCTCCCAGGGAGTCGAGAATAAAAGGTGGTGTGTTCGCGGGAGCACCTAGTCACAGCTCCAGGCCTGTGCCCGAGAAACCGAGGCACAGACTCGGAGCAGGGCGACGTGCACCGGGTTGCCCAGGTGCCATGTCATTCCTGCATCGTCTGGGAACTGACCAGCATCCTTCTCGCCCTCTCTCCGCGCTCCCTCCCCCAGCATCTTCCCTTCCCTAAGCTCGGATTTGGCCTCCGAGTCCTCAAGATAACGGGCTGCATCTAAATTATAGCCAGGAGTTTCTCCGTGACTCTTAATACAGAAAAAGCGAAAGCATTTATTTTGAATTGGGAATCAGCATTTCTTCCACCGAACCGTTCACGAGGGATTAAGTTACTTTAAGGGGCCTTGCCTGAGGAGTGCAGACATTTGCTAAGAAAAGCCCATTTGGAAGCATTATGAAAGCTGAAATCTGTTTCCAGGTGGAAACAGCCCGGAGAGTGGGCCCCAGCGGGGAGGAGCCAGAGATATTGTACTTTACTCTTTTTATTGGGCAGGTTAGTGATTGGGGATACAGAAGGGGTCCTGTTCCTGTTTGGTTTTTGTTGTTGTTAGTGTTCGGTGATTTAGATATCCCACCCCTCCTTTGGGAATGTGAGTACCCATAAAGTGCATTTTCTGTTTTCTCAGATGATGTTCTCTTACTCAGATGGTGCCCCCCTACCCCAACTAGAAAGCCAAGAAAACCTAATAAAAAAGTAAAATTGCCAACAGTTGACTGGTATTTTTTAATAAGTTACTTAGTCACTTAGACTTGGTTCTATCATTTATTTTGAGTGGTGAGAAGAGTGATGGTAAATCATTTTGCCTACGTCATCATAGACATGATGAAGGGTTGGAGAAATATGTATTTCACACATGTACACACAACAGTCACATACTTAAGGGTTTTTACTTTCTTTGATTTATTGCTAATGAAATTCACTAAATTTAAACTAGTACGGTAGGGAAAGTGAGGTTTGATGACAATGTATTTTTGGGTTTACAAACTCCAGAGCACTTGACATGATGCCTTAATAGTCATTTAACTACTTTTGGTTTTTAACCAGATACTTCAAGATTAAAATTGTAAGCAATTCAAGTGCAATTACTGTATTTTTATGCATCTTTTATATATCTACTTGGATTATTTGTGGCAAGAACTTTTAAATCTAATGTCAATTTTATGCATATACTCAATTCTGTTTTCTAGGTTTTCAAATCCTGACACATTCCTTAATTCCATAATAAATTGTACAGATTTCCCCTCACTAGATATATTCTTTTGAAATGAGAATTTTAAAAAAGAGATATGGAACAGTAAAATATCTTAGCTGGAACATTTTTCATGATAGAATAAAAAATAGGGACAATATAAATATTATATAAATCAGAGCATTTACCAGAATACATTAGTAATTTGTTATACTTTTAAAGTTTTACCAATAATTACTGTTAGACTGCCAAATCAAAGAACATAGAGGATGAACATAGAGGGAAAGCTCATTTAATAAATATATAAAGGAGTTATTATCTGTAGAGATGACACCTGCCTATCAGAGCCTATAAGGAGAACATTTAATTAAAAAGGTCATTTGATTTTTTAATAAAGGATTCGGTCATTGAATTATTGAGGAACCTAATTCTAATTCTAAACCAGCCTTAGGGAAAAAGGAGTTTTCTCTTTTAATAGGAGATTCATCGTAGGCAGAAAAAAACTACTCATATTCCATTATAACCTTTATCTTTCTGTTATCCAGAAATTGTGCAGTAAAGATAAGGTTCTTTCCTTTGAGGATGGAACGTTCCTCTTTCACATGTTGTTAAGACCTCCGTGCAGTTTTCATGTTAAGACTGACTTATGTGCAGCTACTGAATGTAGTCATAAAACAAGGGGCCATTGCTCGTGTAAATTAATAGCATTTACTCATTTATGCATGTTCTCTTCAAAATAATGGTGTATTTTCCCCTCAGTATTGACAATCCTTGCTTAGTGGACCAACCATATCTTCTCCTCTCAGATAGTTTGTTTATATTGATCTTTTTGGACACCACTGAATGAATTTGGATGTGGATGTGTTTGCTTCATTTAACTGTAGCTGTAAAGTCCAATTTTGGGGTGACACGTTTGAGGTTGTCAGGAATAAAATGAGTCGTGAATGAACTACTTGTTTGTGGTTTTTCTTGCTGAAGTGATGCATTTACATATTAATGTGGTATAGTGTGAGTCACCAGATTGTTCTTCTGGGTGTTCAGATGAGATATGTGCTGGCAGTGAGAGGCGGCTTGTCAATAGGGGCTGAGACTCATGGTCTGAATATAGGGGTTCACTTGCTGGCTTGGGGTCTGCCCATTGGTCTGGTTTGTGTAGGGAAGAACTGAATTTATTCAACTACCTTTACATCCAGTTTTTTCTTTTTGTGGTACAGTGAGATGATGATGATGATAATGGTTGACATTTATTGAGTGTTTGCTGTGTAAGCATCACGTGCTAGGCTAGGTGCGTTTACGTGGATAATCTTATTTAATCCTCATAAAACCCCAAAGAGAAAGGTACTCTTATGAGTCCCATTTTACAGAAGAGGAAATCAGGATCTAGAGAGTTTGAGTAACTTGCTAAAGGCTAGCTTAACATGGCTAGCTATGCTGGCGCTAGGATTCAGCCTGGGGTGTCAGGGCTCTGAACACATTCTCTGAAACCTGGGTGCCTTGCCCCGCCCCACGGAAACTCCCCAGTGCCTCTGATACATGCTTTTCACCTCTTTCTTTGATCACACTTCAAAGCACCGCCTAAATAAATAAGAAGCTGCTACATTAATACTTGTATTTATATTTATTTATGTATATCTACCTTGGCTCATTTCACGGAGGATTTGAAGCAACCCCTTAGGCGAATGCAGCGTTGGTTAGAACTTAAGTATATTTCTTTCCTATATTAGACATCCTTGAAGGGAGCTCTAGAATGTAATTGGGTTGTTTATTTAACTGTGTGTTTAGAGTGCATAGAACTTGTTTATAGGGGTGTTAAGTGGAAACTGTACTAGTTGCTAATGTGCAAATGTTTTTTAATGATATACTTGTTAGAAACATTAGTTCTTCAATGCTAATTATCTAGACAGGATTCCACATTATTTTATTTTAGCCTGAGTGGCAAATAGACTTTCAATTTTGCACGAAAAGAATAGGTTTTGTGATTATTTGGGACCAAATAAAAGATTTTTTTAAATGACTATGTTGAGGGGAGTTCATCTCAATGTGGAAATGTCAATTAATGTGTATTTATTTAGTTGTGAGGTTTCTAAAGATGGATCTGTTGATTATCAAATTAAAGATGTTTTGTGGGAGAGCTTTAAAAATGAGCCATTTGATGCTGTTGTTGAATGGACATGACCAGGTAATTTTTTAAAAATCCAAAAGTCAGGCATATGACTTAGATCGACACCAATCTATTCATAAATCCTTTGATTTCAAGAGAGTATTTAAAAATTGAAGAGGTAAGAGTTTTCTAATTGCAAATGAGATTAGGCATGAAGCATCAATAGTAGTAAAGTTTCTTAATTCAGAAATAGGCTTGTATTGAGGGGAAAATATTTTTTTAAAATATCAAAGCATCCGAATTAGTGAATATTTTTCAACAAATGGCTTCCAAGTATTAAAGTTATTAGATAAATGGGTGCTATCAGTTAAAATGTGATAATTGTTGAAAATCATGCTTCATGGGTTCCAAGAGTCTATTTAAATAAAGTATCAGGAACATGAACTTTAAAATCCAACAATAAATTGCTAAAACCTGACACAGAAAATATTTTTGTTGAATTAACATCACATAATGTACTTCTAGGCTATCACAAATTTGCAGTTGGAATTAATTACCACAATCAACCTAATTTTTAAAATTAATATCCAAGAAGCAATACAATTAGATGAACTGGGTATGATATCTCTGTTTTAGAACTTACTTATGATAAACGAATATTAAAAAAATGGACTTTATTAACTTCTTTAAGAATGAAGTTGATTAACTTCTTTAAGGCAGCCGTTCAGAACTCTGGGGGAATGGAAACTTAATAGTTAGCTTATGCTGGAGGTAGGCTATTGGGTTTTCTACCAATGGAACACACATTAATTATATTAGGTGTTTTTTGGTTGTTTTAGGCAGCAACTTTTGCTAAGGCTAATAAGCATAGTTCAATTATGAGGTTTACTTACTATTATGTTTTAATTTTAAGAGAGGACTACAAGTAACTAAAAGAAATAGATAATTTTTTCCTTTCCTACTAGAGCCAAGTCGAGAGAGCTCCAAGCTAATGTACTGTATAGAATGCCTAGCTATAAGCCTGCTTTGCAGTTTCTCACACTCTCAGCATTAATTTAGACATTCTAATGGATTATGTTATACTAAACACATTTCTGTAAAGTGGAATGAAGATAGGGGTCAGTATTTGTTTAGCCTTACTGGGTGGCAGGCATGGCCACTGTACCACACTTTCCATGCCTTCCTTACCTGACCTGTTTTCACATCCCCATGTCAATAGGGCAGGAAACTTCTGGTTAGAGAAACAAGTAATTTGGGAAGGATCATGGCTAGGAAATGGCCAAGCAGGGATTTAGCCTTGAACATGACATCTGTTGGTTCTGTTGAGAAACATGGGCAGTAAAGTCAATGAGCAGACATTTATTGAGTTCTAAGTATACTGGATAAGAATATAGACCC